ACTGGCTTATCACAAATATTTTAACTGAGAGTTAATTTAAACAAATTAGGGCAAACATGCTGATTGAGTTGATTCTGCTCTGGAATGGGAACAAACCCCTGCAGCAAAGGTTACGATGGAAATTTGCTTTTAAATCCAAAACCTAGAGCTAAGTAAGTAAGAGGAACCATCACCAAACCTCCAAGTCCTTTATTTAGGACATTCATTCTCCATTCTCTGAGAACGAAGAATTAGCTTTAATAACAGGCAAAAATGCTCACTGTTACTATTTTCTTTACCGTGGGAGGGGCAAAAAAGACACTCTCAGATGTACCTCCGGAGATTTATAGGACAGCTATGCCGAAGAGTGAAAATAACCTTGTTATGATTAACAAATGTATCGCTGTCAAGAGCCAAGTCCACTGACTGCTGTCCCTCAGCAATGAAATCTCACAGCCACGCAGTTTGAAGACAAGCCCCAGGGAAGACTCCAACTCTAATGAGAGACGTGTTTCCTTTGTGCAAGGAAGCTGATAAATCATATTCACCGTGGAAAAGTTTGTCTGTACATCATGTCCTTTGATGGGCTATTCTTAAGAGGCCCAAGATTCCAGAGGGCCACGCAATGGGCTGGCTTGCATTAGATTTCTGCAGAGCTGGCAGCCTCATTCTGGAAGTCTTACATTACAGGTAACCTGATGACAGGGAGGGTGGGCCACAGGCATGCATCTCAGCTTGCCTGTGAAGCCAAGGGAAGCAAGCTTGCAAGACCGAGATGCTGGGATCAATGAAACTCTCTGGGGAACTGGCTGTTCCCCTTTCAAATGCCACCTCCCTAATCTCTCCACTTGCTCAAGGCAGATTCTTCAAAGCTCTGAACACAACACGAGGCTGGCATGATTAGGAAAGGCAAAGGAAGAAGGCTCTCTAAATCATGGGTGGAGGCAAAAGCCATCAAGTTCACGGAGAGTTATCAGGGTCAGAATGGAGGGGTACTTGTTTCCTTTAGCCATGAGAAAACACTTTAAAAAAATATATTTTTATGAGCCTACTATATGCTGGACATGGGGCTGAGCACTAGGTCAAGGTGCCTGCCCTAGAAGACCCTGACATCTCTGAAGGGAGAAAGTCACAAGAGCAAAAAGTGATGTCTGTCCAAAGGCCAGGGTCATTATCTCAGGCTGAGCACAACAGAGAAACACTGACCTGAGGATTTTCCCAGTGTTTGCACACAGATAATACTGTGTGTCAGGGGTTGTGGGTAAAACATCTCTCAAACTGACAGAGGTGCGTGAGGCCAATGATCAAGACAGACTGACCAATATTCACAAAAAAAGCCCTGTTCCTGGAGTCCAGCAAGAGAAAGCACTTTGCCCTCCAGAAGTGGTGTCCTTACCCGTCCTCTCAATTCTCAAGCAGGTGTCACAGAAGGCTTAGCTCTTCCTCACCAGCAAGTCCAAAAGCTTTCCAGATCAGTGCGTCTACTGAATAGCCATAGAGTATGTTGTCACGTGGATATGCCCCAATTTACTGAACCACTGGTGAGTGTGGAGGTTGCCTCCAATACTTTGCCACCACAAACCCACTGTTATTCTTTTTTGAGCACAGAGAATAAAAAAAGGCATACCCCTACATGAAGTGACAGATTAAAAGTGAGCAATAAATGCTGGAAGTCAAAGCTGAAAAAGGCCCTGGTGCTGGCAGAGCGGACCCACAACTGCTTGGAAAGGCTCAGGAAAGCAGCAGCGTGGCCAGCCTGCCGAAGGCCGCGTACGGGGGAGCCCGTTACCGCCCTGCGCCATCCGTTCGTATGTTTGAGCAGTGGGTGATATCACAGTTCCCGGGGGCTGGAGCACGCAGGTCAATAGCCCAAAAGCAATAGAAAAAAAAAAGGAGGAGACATTTTGCTTTGCCATCTCTCAAATTATTACTCGTTGCACCACTGAACTCTCAACAAAACTGAAATAAATTCATGAAGTCAAGGGATTCAAATTCAGACTCAGTAAACATGCATGTGCCCTGATAGCCAGGTACTGATAGGTGCGCTTATACCTCGCATGTGGTCCTCATGAGAAAGAAAGTCTGAACATCCTCATCTGTAGATAGAAAAAGTCAGGTTTAAAGAGAATGCGTTTGGGGGTGGGGGCAGGTCCCAAATGCTGCTAGTAAATTTCAGGGTTGAAATCGGCACCTAAGTTTCCTGCCATTTCTATATTACCATACTGTCAGCTGACCTATGGCTGATGGTTCCCAGCTATAATACTAGACCAGCACTGTATTATATGAAATGGTAGGCCTCTATCAAGAGTACCAATTACACTGTAAAAACAAGAAGAAAGTCTGAAACTAAATCCTAAATTCAGCGTTGGTTTGAGCGTGACTGTGTGCGTGTGTGTGAAACAGAGAATACAGAAAAATGTCATCACTCTTCCCTTTATTTCATTGGAAGATATTTAAAATAAATACCATAATTCTATGGAACTTGAAACACACTAATTGTGAACAAGAAAGAACATTAATGAAATACCATATATTTATAAATATCATGGTATTACAAATACCATGTTACAGTGGGAGGGGATGGACATCTAATTCAGTCATTTCATTCTGTCATTTCTGTAGCGCAGGCTGTGGACCACTACACAGAAATTCAAGAAAGGCAAACCAGCTTAACCGAGGTCACTTATTAATGGCAGGCGAAATACCTGATTAGAATCTAAATTCTTCTAGAAACTTTCTATGTTCATTAATAATACCATCTCACCTTAAGAAAAAGGAGTAGATCTCACCCTGCTCCTCCTCGTTAGAAGCAAAGACTGAATTCCAGAAAGATGAAGTGACTTGGCTAAGGTCGCAAGGATGATTCTGACAAGAACCCAGGTTTCCTGGCTCTCAGCACGTGATCTTTCCCACCACCACGGTGGCTGCCCCTTTCTCAGGGTCCTGATCCCACCGTAGTCCCACATGAGGAAATTTTTACCAGGGTACTCAGCAGAACATTCTCTGGCCTTTTTAACCTACCACTTACATCAATATCCCCAACCATATGTTGTGAGACAACGTACTTCTCTGAGAGAGGGGCTTTGATGGAAGATGGTTCAGAATGGTGCTAACTCTAGGGGGAAAAAAAAAAGCCTTACAATTTCTGTCTGAGGAAGTGGGGAGGGAGAGAGGAGGAAGAAAGACTGATGGAATGTTGTCCTTGCATCTGCTCCATCCCCACAGTCCTTAAGCCATTTTAGGAGGGAAGTGATTTTACATTTAGTGGCCCCTGTATGCCCATCATCCCTCAGATGGGGTCACTCGTAATACTGTGGTGCTCTGCATCAGCATGCCAGATGAGAAACTGTTAGCTTCAAAGATCAGCGACTGTAAACATCCAACTGGTGACTCCTATTCTAAAACACATCAGTGCTCCAGTTATACAATGGTTATTCTAGTGGTTCTTCAGCAAAATATTACTTTGATCAATCAACCAATATTTATTTAAGGCCTATGGACTCTAAGTGTACTCACCTGTGGTGTCTACCGCCACAATTATTAACATAAAAAAGATTAAAAATGATGACACAATTGATTAAAATTAAAAAAAAAACACACACATGGAAGAGAGATCAAGTTTTGAGCTACTAATTCTACTATATGGTTGAAATACGAACCATGACAGCACTGCTTCTCAAACTGTGAAAGAAAAGCACTAAAATAATTTTTTAGACAATTTTGGGATATCCTGATATGAAATGGTAGAAAAAGAAAGCAAGCATACAGTCTAATGGTGGGGGAGGGTGGCCGAGTCAGAAACAGGGGCAGCTACACAAAAGTCGCAGTAACTGGAAGGGTGTCACCAAACCCCACATTCCCCAGCCTTTCTCACTAGTAAACTGGGAGTTGTGTAACGTGCCCTCCCCCACGTACAAAGAAGTGACGTCAGAATGAGGAGACACGTGTGAAATTCCGTTGGAACGTCGTGTTACTGATGCAGATTATTTTAGAAACTTGCTTAACAGAGGTAAAGCCTAGATGCTATAACATACAAAGAGAACTGCTTTCCAAGGAAATCTATTTGCCAAAGAGGGGGAAAAAAACTTAAAACAATTCTAAAGCCACTTCTCGGCAAGTTGATGATATCTAGAAGCATTTCTATAATTCACACAAACATTAAATTGTTGGACACATCTATCTGCCACTTTGGTCTTGGGCGTTCTTTGATCAACCACTTAAAACCAGTCTCAGAGGTCTCCTCCCTTATATTTCAGCTTTATCCATGTTATAACACATTACAAAATAAACTCTGAAACAGAATGAACATTCTGGTACCTTTTTCATTTTAAAAAGTATTTCCATGTTTTCTCAGAAAAGCTATATATACTTTTTTTGTTGTCAACATTTTCTCATCAGAATCTCTTTGAACTAATTCAGGGCTCTGATGTGTAGGTTTAGAGGCTTCTTTTGGGGGGAAAAATGCTTGTAAATGTAATAAACATATATGTGTCAATATATTATGATTCATGATATAGAACCTTCATGTATAAACAAATTTAGCCCTTTCTTAATAAACGAGATTTTAATTTCTTTTTACACCTTAATGTGACATATCTTTCTTCAAAATAATGACTCGTTACTATCCTACACTTGCAGACTGCAAACAAAGACTGCAAAATCCTACGATTGTGTGATTTCCCAGCGACGTAATGCTCTGTGTTTTCTGAAAAACGCTCACACGAAGGACCTCCCCACAGCGTGAGGCGGGAAAGGACGCATCAGCGGAAACGGCTGGGAGCCCGCCGGAACGCAGGCCTGTGGTTCCCAGACCAGGCTGTGCCTCCTGAACGGCACTTTTCCTGTCTCTGGTTCGGTGTTAGGTATTCAAAAGCAAAATGCCCTTGGAGGACAGGGAGAAATTTCCCGCCATCAACACGGAGCTCTAAGCTTTGATGAGGGGAGAAAGCCAGAGGGGTGATGGAGAAGACCCCTGTAGCGGGGGTCGGGTTCAATGGCTCGTGGGCGCCCAGTGCTCTTACCGTCCAGGTGGCTGACTTGGCGGTGCTGGACTGCTGGAAGGACACGTCGAAGCTGTGCGGGCCCGGGTAGTCGGTGTTGGAGGGGATGGCGGGCGACGGCGAGAGGGCGTCGAAGGTGGAGCTGGGCTGCGCGTAGGGCGAGGGCGCCGTGACGCTGTTCTGCGCGTGCTCTGTGTTGTAGGGGCTGGTGGACGAGGAGCCGTTCTGAATCTGCTGGTCCATGCTGTTCAGGAGCCCCAGGTTCGTGTACTGTGGCTGCGGGACACCCAGAAACCCCCACGTTAGCCATTTAAGCTGCAGATCATTGCTCCAAGAGAGGCATCATGGAGTGCATGAGCTCACATTTGCATTTAAGATCAAACAACTGATTTACGGTACATACTTCAAAACACCAAGAGAAGCCCGCGGCGCGTGTGTCTGTTTTGGGATGCCCTGCACACATCACACAGCTTCATATGCAGCTTTTAGAGGCTGTGATCTCCTCCAGAGCATTTGAAAGTAGATTATGTGCATTTTCACAAACTGGGCAGAAAGAGCCAGCGCTCAGTAGCTGCTTATGAATTCTTCCAAATAAACAAATCCACCTGCTATTCTTTTTTCCTTCTGTCCTGGTATTCAGAATGAGGAAGACCACTGGACAGACATGTTCTAAAGGGGATTTAAGCATCAAATTGTTGTTTACAGAGCAAAATTGGTTGTTCTCCAAATTTCCTTTTAGTCTTGCAATTCTAAATTCTGTCCCAGGCTACCATCTTCCCCTCAAGGACCGGGTTCATGAAGACTGGAGGGGAATGGGTAGCAGGGTTAGGGAGAGGCAGTATATATTTTAAAAGATAACATGCTAATGTATCATCCAGGCACAGCCTAATTTTTCATCTGTTCTATTTTCTTTGGAGCAGTTTATTATTTTCTAAAGTAGAATATGTGTAAGAGAAATTTTGTCTGGTTATGATTAAAATTCTGTATTTGGTATAATTCAGAAATACATTAGTTCATATAAATTCTCTGTCAGATGCTTTTATTTCTTCTAGTAGAAGAGACGCAGAATAGGTTCTCAGTAAGACGTTTATGGAACGAATGATTTAACTCCTAATTTCATCAGCCAAAATCTCTTTACTGTATTACTCTCGGAGAGGGGAAGTGATTCGCTCAAGCATCAGCTAATGAGTAAAGAGTAGGGATTTTGAAACCAAATTTTCTGATTCTGAATCTAGGGCCCTGCCCACACCATCACACCTGTCAGCTTGATCAGATAATTCAAGCCATTCCTGAGTCAAATTGGACACATTGCCAGAAGGGGCCACCTGCCTGGGGTACCGTTTTCCCTTTGTAAAACCTTCTGACACAAGGAAACTTGATTGTTTCTTCAAGTTAGAGATGGGAAAACAAATCAAAAGCAAGAAGAAGAAGGGAGTCCTGTTAGTACATATTTTATAAAGGAAATAAGGAGTCTGGCTCTTCAACTGAAATATAACTCTTGGGGGGAGGGTAGTATAGCTCAGAGGTAGAGCACATGCTCGGTGTGCTCAGGGTCCTGGATTCAATCCCCAGTGCCTCCGTTAAGGGGAAAAGTAAAGATCATAATAAAAAATTTTAAAAAGAAATATAACTCTGAGAGTCCCAGATATAGTCAAACTATGGTGAAGAGCAAACTCACAAAGGAATTGATGCTTGAAAACAATTTTAATTGAACTTTAAGCATAATAAAATTATTTTACTAAACTTTAAGTATTCCACATGGGGAGGAGAAAGGACTCTTCCATTCCATTCAGTCCAGGGAGCATCTGTCTAAATGTTAACAGTCGCATGCCCATTCCATTACATTTATATATTCGAATTCCACTGCTGAATGCCATGTCCCCATTTGCTCTTCAAATAACGATTAATCTCTTCACATTTATCCCCCTGCTGACAAGAGCAGCTGTCAGTCTGGCCTTCTCTCCCCTCTAACTAATACAGCTCCCACTCCTCTCCTCCCCCCTAACTTCAGCTTCCCCTCTTGACAGGTGAGGCAAACTGCAGGTGAGACAACTAGGAGAGAAAAAACTAAAACCCGAGGCCCTGGCTGAATGAAAGCTTTGAGGTGTCCAAGCCTGCGGCAACAGTCCAGGAAGGGGATTGAAAAGAAATTATTATTTGTGTGCAAGTTAAGAGTCAGTCTACCAAGCACTCCTGAGCATCCTGTAGGAATCAGATAATGCTCCCGGAGGCACGTGCTTCCCTACAGCAGTACAATTAGGGAGGCAGCCGGCCCTGACAAAAGGGACAAAGAAAATCACCCAGCACTTTCTCACAGGCAGTAAAAAGCCTGTCTGTCGGGCCATCCCTCTCCTCCTTCTAGCTACACAGAATGGAACTTCAGCTAATTGTAGGCTTGGATGAGAACAAAGAACCATGGCCCTTTGAATCTTTTTTTTTTTTTCAATATATGTCAAGAGAAAAGTCTGGGGACACAGCTGTAAAACCCAGTGAGTAAACATTCAGTGCTTCTTGAAGGACTGAAGAGAAATGGGACAAACTATGGTTACCAAAGGGAAAGAGGGAGAGGAATAAATTAGGAGTTTGAGATTAATGGATACACGCTACTATAGATAAAACAGATAAACAACAAGCACCTACTGTAGAGCACAGGGAACTATAGTCGATATCTTATAATAACCTGTAATGGAAAAGAATCTGAAATATATATATATATATATACATATATATATATATATATATATACACGTACACACACACACATATATATGCATGTATATGTATGTATACGTATAACTACTTTGAGCCACTTCACTGAACACCTGAAACTAACATTGTAAATCAAATACACTTCAATAAAATACAAAATTTAAAATAGAGAGAAATGGGAACTCTATTTACCTCAGAGGTACAAAGATGACCCCTTGGGACAGCAGTAAGACTGGACATATTGAGTGGTACCAAAGAATTGGAAATCTTATTTCAAGTCATTAATAACATTAATATGGGAGTTGAGGGCTATGCCTTTAAATGCCATAATTTTTAATCTCACATAGTTCGGGTGAAATATTTTACTGGACAACAATGAGGGTTTGCCTCCAATGCTGACATCTCAATTTACATAACGTAAAGCTGGAGCTCTCAGGTTTGGGCAAAAAGCTGCTTGCTCTTCAAGACAAAAATAGGAAAACATATTGCAATTTAAGCTTTTCTCAAATTTTACTTTGAAGAAACAAAATCTAAGCAGTAGACGCAATTGTCTTTGTAAAAGAGAGCATGAAACCAACGCCACCTTGCAGTTAACTAACCTAAAACACAGGCAACAATGACCCCACCAAAGGCAGAATCGTGTGACTGGAAATCTACGTGGATACGTTTCATAGCTTGATTCAAAAATCAATGTCAGAAACCTGTCATAGGAAACGGTACTTTTGAAGTCTGTTTAAAAAGCATTTCAGTAACAACAAAGGCAAAAGGTTCTTATTTGCTTATTTCTTTGATTTGAAGAAGGTGGACATGTTGACAAAGTACAATCGGAGGCCGAGGGCGGACCAACCTAGCCAAGAGGAACAAGGGTGAGAGAGGCAGGATGAGCGAAATTATTCACATGGCTCATTGCAAAATGATGCAAACGCAGGGCCTCTTGTTCATAAATTATTAAGAGTTTCAACATGGTGACAGAAGAGCGTTAAACAAAGCACGGGGCCCTTTCCTGACCGCACACTTTGCATGCCTATGAAGCTAGCTCTGTACCAGGTTAATGTGAATAACATTTATTTCTTATTTTCCACCAAAATGAAGCTGGTGAGGTGAAGGAAGCAGTACTTGTGCCCTTTGTTTACGATCAGTAATTAATCCATAAACACAGAAGGGAGAACTTTGTGTTGTGCTGGGATGCTAATGAGATGCCTATTTATAGTGACAGGTAAGATAGGGTCTCAGAAGTTAGAACATACCACTCATAAAAGTAACAAAAAGTACCCTGAGAAGAACTTTTTGGGGTACCAGATGTCCCATGTGTTTCTTATGTCACAAAAGCTATTAGAACATTTGAAATGTAATAGGAAGTAGATAGTCCCTTTCTAGCCACAAGGTATCCTGATCCTGGAATAACCTTAACACACTTTATAGACACTCCATGGATGAATAGATGAAAAATGTTTTATACCAACCCTAACGTGTCTGAAAGAGACGGTCTTCTTTCCACAAAATATAAAAGATAAAGATGAACATAATTTGTCTGATAGCTATTATAAGCCTGAGAACGAATATAAGACTGGATTCAGACAAATGCTTCATTTCCTATAAAATAACTTTGAAATAGAAGGCTCATCGCTTGGACCCTGGAAAATTACCAACATCTGTAGCTGGAATGTATTCGCGTTCATCACAGATTTGCTGATCTGACCACAGAAAGGATGAAACACACCTGGGTCACAGAGACTTACCATACTCCAAGTAATCACAGAATCCCCTGAGGGTGTTCTGAAACAAGGAGCTGGTCTGGTGAGTGCGGGGATCCCCCGGGGCTGAACCTCAAATCACTTGCTTTCACCACCATTAGGAAAGAGCAAGGGTATAACTACCATGTCCAAGCACAGAAGGAGTGTTTTCTTGTTTTTGTTTGTTTGTTGTTCTCCTCCCATAAATTCTTTTGCATTCTCATAGGCATCTACAGACCCTGATTTATTTCTTCACTCAACTTCAATTTGCACATTTACAGTTAAAATGGCAGTACAGACGATAGAGTTCTCCTGACTGGTCATCGTTTTAAAAGTGTCCTATAAATGCGACCTCTTTAGTTTTATTATATTTTTCTTTTCTGGATTACATTAGTTGATGATCTTAAATTCTGAATCTATTATGGGCCTGAATCTTCTTCTTGCTCAGCAATAATGTATATCAGTATATAGCACTGTAAACAAAAGTCAATATTGAATACCTGGGTTTATACCCTCTTAAAGTTGGTAATGTAATTACTTTCCTATAAAATAACTAAACATCCAAAAAGAATTCCAATCAAGCTGTATGACCAGTGCAGTGAAACAGGAAAGTAGATATAATTTGCAGTTCTGAAAATCTCTCTCCAATTTTTCTGGCTCAGAGAAATTGTGTAAGTTCTTTTTCCTGGACATTACTATCTGTAATGGCTAATTTATGGCAACAATAGCTAATAATATATGACAAGAGATTAGTATAATATGGGAATGAGGGCCATATTAGGCAGAGAAGAGGTTACTTTTGGGATATATAATCCATTTATTTACCTCAATGTA